TCAAACCCTGTTCTCTTTCACTCTGTACCTGAAGATTCACCTCCTCCACAGGCAGAGAGTTGTATTGTTGTGATTAGATGCCATGAGGAAGCTTATTCTTCAGCTGAGATCCAGCCTCCAAGGGGGAAGGGAAGGTAGGGCCATTTCCCATCCATCGCAGGCTAACAGTGTCACACGCAATGAGCCATATCATAGCCAGAATTACACGTGTCAGCCAACAAAAGCACCATTCTTTCTCTCCAGCATGCATGAGGAGCTGGCCTTGTATGGCAGGGTCATATAGAGCTGGCTGCATACAGCATAGGTCAGGTGCAGAAGAAACTCAAAGGACAGAATGCGATATTGACCATATACGAAAGCAGATAATGACAAAACAGGAAGATGTGCATAGGGGAGCAAGCAATTTTCTCCCCCACCCCAGTACTTTAAAGAAGGCCTTGAGAAATAAGAACTGTTTGTACTGAAGCTTAAAGAATGATGACAAATTCCATAGCTTGAGATGGGGGAAAGGACAGACCAGGAGAAAAGATCAAACACAGACAGTGCACAATGGGAGCATCTCTCAGGTGTAGGGGGAAAAGTACACAGGATTTTATTCTAAATCATCAAGTTTGTATCAGCTACAAGAGCCATTTTTTCAGTTTAACATTTTTTTTGTCTATTAACTTTTTTCTTCTTCACCCTAGTAAACATGAATGTATCCCCATCTTAACATTTAACTCCTTTTGCTTTTCAGGCCAGAGAAGGGGAAGTAGCCATTATTGATAAAGTTCTAGACAATCCAGACTTGACATCAAAAGAATTCCAACAATGGAAGCAGATGTACCTCGACCTTTTCTTGGATATCTGTCAGAGCACCACTTCAAATGACCCATTAAATATTTCCTCTGAAGTAGATGTAATCACTTCCTCTCTGACACATACTCATTCTTACATTGAAACGCATGTATAAGTGTGTTCTGCCTTCGGGCCATGTTGTACCTTCCAGTACTCTGAACAAGTATATAAGGTAGTTTTTGTATCATTGTGTGGGGACACTTTACAAGCTATACTTTAATGTTACTGAACTACCAGTATATGAAACAAATCCTAATAAGGTCACAATACCACTGTCTTTAATGAGCATTTGTATATTTTATATGCAACTAGTGCTCAGCTTGTGTTTACCATGTGCAAAAAAAAAATTTCAAAAATCCCCACAACTGTCTTTAATGACTTAAAATTAACTTTTGCAAACAAATCTGAAGACAGGTGGTCTTCAAGTAGTAAAACTGAAAAAAAAGGCAGTTTTATATCTAAGGTCATTTTTTTCCCTTTAATTTTCTATAAATAAGACTTCAGAAGTAAATTACATTTTTTCAGGTGCAGACATCCTTGTGGGTGGGAAAGAATTTAAACCTTTTTTATATTTATTAAAGTGTTCTAAGGATTTTCTTAAACATTGCACAAAGTTTAATGCTGTAGTTTTATTTTTGTGAAATGTAGATGCGCACATGAGAGTTAAGCAAACTAGAAAAGCATCAACATAAGAAAAGTTCAGGTCTTAATATCCGTCTTAATAGTCTATTAACTTGTGAAAGCTGGTTAATGGAAATACTATTCCAAATCTATGAGAACACTTAACGGTGTTATCAGGGCAAAGCTTTGTAAGATGTTTTTGTAACTAAGACCAAAATTGAAGATAGAACTGCTTTATTTTCTTGGTTTAAATCTTCCTTTATTTTTGTAGTGATGAAATGCTGATTGTGTACAGAGGAATCTGAGAGTGGATTTTTTTTTAAACAGACTTAACTTGCCCAGAAAGGCAGCTAACAGCTTTCAAACTCAAACTGAAAATAATACAAAGTATAAACTGAAAGAAATCAACTTTTCCAGATAGTGTCTGATTCCCCCCAGCCCATCAACCAAACTTATGTAATTATACATCAGGCAAGGAAGTAAAATATATCTAGTTATGTAAAGGCTGAGGTGTGTTACAAAAAACAATATTGGGGGGGGAAATGTGCTTCTCTTCTAAGGAGCAAAAGGGTGGTGGTAACTCAGAGATTTGCTGCATTGAATGATATGAGAGAAACAACTATGAGGCTTGTCCTAGCTTCATGAATTGTCCTATAGAGTGGATGAAGTCTAGGAAAAACATTCTCTTCATATATTTCCATTTACAAACATCTTGTTTTTTCAAGCGATCACAGCATGCTATTGACCGTGCTGCTTTGTCGTGTCTGGCTGCATAATGTACAAGTCACAATTTGCTGTTTTTTAAGGAGGAAGGCACCCTCCATTACTATTCTGTATCCTAAAATCTACTTTGAATCAGCTTTCTACTGTTGCCTGTACAGCTCAGTGAATGTACTTTCATCTTTAAGAGTTCCAATAGATGCCAGTGAAACTTTTTGCTGTAGAGGAGAAAGTAACAACTCCACAGCCAGGCTCTTTTTTCTTTGCTTTTGAAACCACCATTGACTCACTATCGTTTTGCAAACTTTGCACAACTGTACAGAAGAGTGGCCTTTCTACAGCACATTTTCAGTAACCCTCTATTTAGTCTAAATGGATGAGAAATCATGTATTAATGTTTGTATGGAATTTTGGGTCCAGTGTAATATTTTTATCATGTAAAAAAAAAACCTATTTGTAAAAACATTTATTTACTGCATGGGTACTGACGCACATTAAATTTGTGGGATTTTGTATATGTTAAAAAAAAATAGGGAGTGGAGAAAACACAACAAAAAATCAAAAACAACCTCTTGTCCTAAAAGGAAGTGTGCTTGTTACAGGTGTTTAGACTTGTTGTTGTTTACTAGACTAAATGTGTTTGTTCACATAATAATATCTGTAGCAGATGAATGGATGTGTCATGTATACAGTGGCCAGGTCCTGCCTTGTAGACAGCAAACAGATGAAGGGAAGACTAGCTCTGTTGCTACAAAGCCGCTTTTTCTTTTTTAAAGTCAACTCTGTTGTTATTAAATGGTAAACAATAAACGAATGAATTTCAAGACTGGTGGCTAACCTAGCATGAAAGAGACCTTTTACCACTATATATCTGTACATTTTATTGCATTTTTTTCAAATCTAGGAGAGAGGTGGCACTGTAAACTGAAGTCAAATAAATTCAGATCTTAATGAATCCTTATGAAGCACTTTATTCATACAGCCTGAACACATACGGGGCCTATCCACACAGCCGCCATGCTGCCCAATTCCAACTTTGCCACACCATACATTGTACAATGCTCTCCTTTGAGACCCTGAAAAGTCAAGCTGGTTTCCCATTTACCTTATACAAACCTGCTTCTCTCTCCTTTGTTCTATGAGCTTTTTACAGAAGTGGGGGTGAAAAGGTGGGGGTGGGAGTGACCCACAAAAACATATAGATTATTTTTACAAACATAAACTCTAGTATGCCTACAGAATGATCATTTAAAGAAGATGAAATAAATAGGTGTTTGGTTTGGTTTTTGTTAGATGTCCCACTTAAGCTAAGGAGTCTGATTATTATGGGTGAATTATGACTATAAATCAACAAGCTGCACAAAGCTACAGCAAAAATAGACCAAGAATGGCAATGGATGATTACACACGTAAACCTAGGATACGTTATACACACATACACACACAAACCATAAATATATATCCATGCTCTGGGTCATAAAATCTAGTTCACCTTTTGATTCTCGCTGTTTAACCAAGGCACTTTCACTATTATTTGGATAATGCCATCTTCTAAGACTATATGCAGGCACCCTTTAGTTCCAGACTACCATAATAAAGCTTGAGGTACAATGAAGCAGGTCGCATGAAGCTGCCATTTTTTTTTATCCCAGTAGTTATAAAAGTTGTGTTTACACTATGCTATAGCCTATAAGGAGTTCTGAAAGCAGAGTCATAGGTGTTGTGCTGCTAAACAAAATGCTGCATCTCTGGGAGGTTCAAAGCCACCAGAGACTCTAGGGGAAAGAAAGTTAATCAGTATCCTCCTATGAAGATTGACAGCTTCTGACCAAATGAAAGTCACTATGATTTGGAATTGACTATGGTGAGTGAGTGAGGATTCTATTATGTGTGCATGGAGCTCTGGTGGCCTAGTAAGCTGTGCTGCAATCCCAAAGCTACAATCCCGAAGTTGTTCTCTGTAGGAGAAAGATGGGCAGCCTCCTACCCCAGGATCAACTGCCTCTAAAAAACCCACCAGAGTGTCAGCTATGGCTCCATTCCGACTTGAGAGTGCACAACAATAATAACATCACAAACTAGTTTGAAATGCTATGAGAATTACCAAAATGGGACACAAAGACAGCACTATTGTGGGGAAACTGGCACAGATAGGCTTGCTTAATTCAGGGTCGTAACAAAAGCCAGCCAAAACCTAATCTACTGCCATCCCCGTGGTTTCAACTCATGAACACCTTTCACTGGTTTCCAAGCCTATAAAATCTTGAGGTTATCGCATCTTTTCTGCTGGTGGATTCAAACTGCAGACTTCACAGTTAGCAACAGAACACCTAAGCTACTTAGCCACCCAGAGCTTTAATTTGTAAGAAAAACCACATGATCATCGAGGCTCAATAGAGTGGAGAGCAATAAAATGAGGTGTGCCTGTATTCCAGCTTTTGCAGTCAATAATCTTCTGGGTCTCACAAATCCTTTGGATTTTTTTTTTTCCACAAAAGCAGTCATTGTTTAGCACCTTGGTAAACACTTCATAAAAAGTGTAAGAGGGAGAAAACAGGGTCATATTTATTTTAGAAAGACCATCTCTATCTAGCCTAGCATGGGGTCTTTCTGGCAATCAGCAGCTCACTGAAGCTGATCCCCATGCCCTAGTTTCCAAGCTCTCCTGCCTTCTACTCTTAATGGGAAATGTTCCTTTGTGGCCAAGCTCTTGTTTGCCTCCTTAACCTTCAGAATCCACTCTGCTTCCAGAGTCGCACTCTTAAGGAAAGGTCATCTATCTGATGCTCGATAAACCTGGTCCAGCACGAATTTCCCCTCAATTAACCCATTAAGCTCATCACTAAACCTGGTGCCCCTTCAAGGTCTTCCTCCCTCTCCTCATCCGCACCCTCAGGCAGCTGCAGCACTGCACACTGCAGGCCACTCCAAGCCCAGGGTAGTGCGCAGCCAATGTCCTCCCAGCGGTCGAGGTCCAAGTCATAGCCCACCACGTTGCAGGTGGGCACCTGGCGTGAGTCTCGCCACTTGAGCCCACCTATCAGCAGCGCCGTCTCCTCCACCACAGCCAGTCCATAGCAGAAGCGATCATAGGGCAGTGGCCTCAGCCGGGTCCACTGGTCTGTGCCTGGATCATAGCGCTCGATCTCAGAGAAGGGCTCATAGCGCCCAAGAAAGGCGAACACTGCCCCGCGCAGCGCTGTCATGTGGTGCCCAAAGCGGGCCGTGCCCATGGGCGCCCTCTTGCTCCACACCTGCTCCCCGGGGCACAGGGCGAACACGTCGCGGAGGCTATTGGTGCTGCCCTCACCTTTGCCCTCCTTGCCCCCAGAGATGTATACGATGCCCCGATCGCCTACGGCCCCTGCGTGGCCATGAAGGGCACGCGGCAGTGACCCCACGGGAGTCCAGCGGTCCCGGCGCAGGTCGTACATCTCCACCGAGGACAGCACCTCGCCATCAGCGCCCAGGCCCCCTACGGCCAGCAGTCCCTCCCCCACAGCGCCGCTCCAGAAGTGTGCACGCGCCTCGTGCATGGCGGGCAGCGGCGTCCACACGTGGAAGCGCGGGTCGTAGCGGTGGCCCTGGGCGGTGACTGTTGGCCGGGCGCTTGCCACGTGACCGGAAGCGTTGCTCTTGAGGCTCTCCCCGCCCAGCACGAACAGGAAGTTGCCCACTTCACACACGCTGTGGCCCAGCAGAGGCCTCGGCAGCCGTGTGAACCTGCTCCAGTGGTGGTTATACACATCGAAGGCCACCACGTCCTGGGTAAGCTCCCACGCTTCCTCTTCATCCTCCTCCTCTTCCTCCTCCTCTTGGGGCCCTGCCGCACCGCCCCCGCCTTGGGCTGGCCCACGCGGGGCCGCCACCTCCTCTGTCAGGACCACCTGGGCCCTGCGCCCCCCGACCAGCAAGACACGGGTTTGGGGGCTCCGGACTCTGGTCTGCTCGCCCTGCAGGAGCGGCTGGCGGGAAGGCGTCGTGTGGTAGGTGAGGGCTTGGATGATGAGGCCCTTGACGCGAACGGGCAGCGAGAGGCCAGAGCCCGAGTACACGTGCCGCAGTACGTGCTCAGGCACCAGGCCGAAGCGCACGCGCTCCAGCAGCTGCACGCAGTGTGCCAGGCGAGGGGCCGCAGGCTCACTCCGCAGCCAGGCCAGCGCGAGGTCCAGCAGCTGGGCTTCGGGCACCCGGGCCACATCGGGGGCACCCAGCACAGCCCCGAGCGACGCGGGGTTGAGCTCCAGCAGCCCCGAGGGGCCAGCGCCCCGCGCCAACAACTCTCGCAGGTGACGCACAATGCAGCGCTCGGCCGCCCCCAGCGTGTGCGGTAGACCAAAGCGCGCTGCCATATTAGCGGCAAAGCAGCAGTTGTCCGGGGTCAGCTGGCGCTCCAGGTAGCCGCCGCACAACCCCAAGGCCTCTGTGACTTGCAGGTAGCTGGCGGCCTCAAGCGTGTCCTCCACGGTGTCCATGGAGAGTGGCAGCCAGGCTGTGTAGATAAAATCAAGCAGGCGCTGCAGGCCAGCCGCCGAGGGCACGTGCAGGTGGATGACGCGCTCCCTCGACTCCTGGGTGTGGCTTTTGAACAGGGCTCTGAAGTAGTCACTGGAGCACGCGAGCAGCGACCGGTGCGCAGGGAACTCGCTGCCCTCTGCCTCCAGCGTGACGTCGCACAGGAAGCCTTCTGCGCGCAAGGCCTGATAGCCGGTGAGCAGCGAGCCGCCGTGAGTTTTGCAGTAAGACAAGAAGTAACTCATGATGCCCAGCGTGAAGTGGCAGGGCCCAGATGGAGGCATCCCGGGGGTCGGCGCCCCCGGGACCCCGCGACCCGCCGAACCTTTAGCAGGACCCCATTTTTGCCTGCTCAGTTTACATCCAGGAGCTCATACATCCAGATCCGCAGATGACCACTTGCCCCTCTCAAAGCAAATCCACTCGGGCTCTGGCTTCCAGCCGCAGGCAAGGGGAATGGGGAGTATGGAAGCTTCCAGGGGGTGTGGATCTTGATTTTTGCGGCTATCAAGGCTGCCAGCGCGTTGCCCAAAGCCCCTTCCCTGGCCCAGTTTGGGGGAGTCCCACATCTGCGCGCTGGGGGCAGCAGTGGTGGTCCCCGGGGCTGCTGGATCACCGACGACTCAGAGCCGCAGATGTGACCTGGACCCAGGTGTCCCAGGAGTTCGGGGTGAAGCCTCTGACCTCCCGGAGGTGGATGAGGAGGACGACTTCTGCGGACACCCGCGAGGCTGGGGACAACTGGCTGCGGGGCAAACGGGGTGGTGAGCTTGTTCCACACAGAGGATCAAATCAAAGCCTGGGGGATTAGGGAGGAGGGGGGTGCAGGTCAGCGCAGCGGGTCAGAGGCGTGATTGGGTGCCGCACATAACATGCCCGTAGCTCACAGCGACAGGAATAGCGCGGCCGCCTCAGCCTCCAGGGTGCACCCCTCCCCTCTCCTGGCCACTGGCTGCAAACTGAGGGCCAGGGCCAGACACTGCCTCCGGAGACCAGACAGGTGGCACGAAACAAAGGAACTCAACTAGGCATTGGGAAGGAGACCTCACACTGGAGAGATGCGGATCACCGAGGACCTTGTGACTGGTGGAGTCTGGGGAGGGGAGCCTGGCTAGGCCAAGGGTCATCGACCCCCAGGTGCCCCTGCGGCTGGGGAAGAGGCCTCTGTCTCTCAGCTTTCTGCATTGAAGAGGCCCTAATTAATCCACCAGGAGCCAGGATTAAGCCTGGACTTTGCACACTGACACCCGGGAGGTCGCTGCAGGCAGAGGAGTGGCTGGTGGGAGCTGCACCCGGATCTGGGGCTCGGCCCAGGGACCTGCCTAACACGCCCCTCACCCGGACTCACCTGTGGCAGACGCTGGGCCTACTCTGCATCTTCCCGCATCTCTCCAGGCTGTCCACGTTCACATCACACATTCGGGAATTTGTTCCCATCCCCACTTCTCCAATCTCGCTCAGTTCTCCCTTCCTGTTCTGGGACTCTGCCCAGCCCAGCCCTTTGCAACATGATCAAGGATGTGGTAGATTACTTGCCTTCTGATGACCACTTCCTTTAAGAAAACATTGTTACATTTTCTCTCCTGACTTCCCACGCTCTAATTGTTGGATGCTACATCCTGCATACTGTGATTAGATAATGGGCAGTAAGATTGCAAAGCTCAAGAGAGGCAGTGGTTTCTTGAACTTAAATAACGAAATTATTAATATGACCTTTCTTGACAATTTGAAGGTTTCTGTGTGTTTAGCTTTCATCTAGAATTGATATTTCTATTTTCTGATGCAGTCCCTTTGGTAGTCTGTTTTAAGTGAGCCTTTTGAGATCCTCTGAAATAATTTGTATTTCTCACAGTTAGGGTTGTATTTCATAGGGAAGAGGGGAACGTCTAAAGAGGGATAAATTTCTAACAGCTTCTGTCTGAAATGTGATCAGTACTTACAAGGGCTTCAGTTGAAAGTGATTCCATAAATGCATACATAGTATTTAGTAGTGTGATTTTTGCCTTCTTGTCAAGAATAGGACTGCTTTGTCACTTAAACTAGCCAAATTCCCCCTTGCCTATCCTCATCCCTCTGCCAGGGGATAAATCACCAGGTCACACAGTTTGAGGGGTGGAGGGAGGGGGTAAAGGAATAGCTACCTGGGATCTGAAAAGACACAGTAATGCTGGATATTGTTCAGTGGTGATTCATTTTATAAAACTGAATTAATGGGAACGATTGTGTGAGACTGCATGAAGGATAGTGTAAAACACAGTGTATATGGATTTTGTATGCAAAACAATATAAAATGGTGGTTGGTTGTTGTGATAGACCTTTGATTCAGAACTAACCTATAGCTGACCCTCTGACCGGTTTTCAGAGGCAGTTAATCCCACAGGAGGAGACAACCCATCCTTCTGCCTCTGAGCCGCTGGTGAATTTGAACTGTGTGCCTTCAGCATTGCAGTATAGCTTCTTGCCACTAGGCCACCAGAGCCAATATAAAATAAAGATGACACTTCTCTAAAAAGGACATCTCTGAGTCTTTCCTGCAACAGTGGTCTTGTTTTTACAGACTCCTTTAGGTTCTGTTTTTCTGGGAATATCTTGATCTCTCCTTCATATTTGATGGTTAATTTTGCTGGATACAATATTCTTGGCTGACAGTTGAGTGTTTGATATGTCATTCCACCCACTGTCTTCTTGCTTGCATGATTTCTGCTGAGAAATCGGCAGTTAATCTTATCTGCTTTTGTGTCTCCCTAGATGCTTTCAGAATTCTCTCCTTATATTTGGTTCTGGTGAATTTGACTATGTTATGTCTTGGTGTTTTTATTTTGGAGCGGGATGGGAGTGTCAGAGACAGTGCGATTGGCACAGGACAGAGCGGAGTTTAGGGCTCTTGTACATAGGGTCGCTATGAGTCACAGGCGACTCGACGTCACATAATAACAACAACAACATTCTATATGGTGTTTGCTCAGCTTCTTGAATATATATTCTGTCATTTTTCATTATGCCTGGGAAGTTTTCTTCCAGTAATTCTTCCACAACTTTTCCAGTGCCTTCTGTTACTGGAAATATACCCTATCAAAGCCATAACTGCCACCCAGGCAGATATATGCACACCCATGTTTATCACGGTTTTGTTTGCAATAGCAAAGAGCTGGAAACAACCCAAGTGCCCATCAACAAACCAATGGATAGAGAAGCTCTGGTATATTCACACAGTGGAGTACTACACTGCATTGAAAAACAAGGAACTCATGCAATATTATTCAAAATGGGTGACCCTGGAGGACATTATGCTGAGTGAAATATCTCAGTCACAAAAGGACAAATACTGCATGGTGCCACTGTTGTAGAACGGGACTGACGTCAGGGTTGAGAAAGATTGGATAAAAATTATGTATACAGCATTAAGACATATGAGGGAAAGAACTGTTTAAAAGCCATATATGATAGGGTATTATGGTTATGACAAGAGTCCACAGTGAAGGTTGCATAGTGGAATGTACTGGGGGGCGGCATTTATACCAATGAAAGAATTTTTCTTTTACCTTTCAAAGAGAAGAGCGAACCGGGGGAGAGGGGTGGGCAGGGAGAAAAATGCAACAATGAATGAATGGAAATCCAAAATCTCTGTATATGTTAATTAAAATTAATAAAATTTAAGAAAAGAAAAAATAAAGATATGGGGAGGGGAATAGCTTATTTCTAAAGTGAGAGGTCATAAAGTTGGTTCTGTGTAAACTCCATAGTCTTAAAATACTCAGATTTGAATTCCTAATGTTACCGCTACAAATGGGCTCAGAGGAGATGCAGATGTGGTGTGACTATAGGTATAAAGAGGCTTGTTTGTCGGAGGCCGAGCGGGGCGAGGTGGCGGGCGCCCGGTGGCGCGGCCTCGGACTGTAGCCGTGTCAACGTGTTATGATGCCGTCTCGCACAAACCTGGCTGCTGGGATTCCCAGTAGTAAAGTGAAATACTCAAGACTTTCCACAGATGATGGCTACATTGACCTTCAGTTTAAGAAAAGCCCACCTAAGATCCCTTACAAAGCCATTGCCCTTGCCACTGTGCTCTTCTTGATCAGCGCCTTTCTCATCATCATCGGCTCCCTCCTGCTGACAGGCTACATCAGCAAAGGGGGGGCAGACCGGGCCGTTCCCGTGCTGATCATCGGCATCCTAGTGTTTCTGCCGGGCTTCTACCACCTGTGCATCGCCTACTATGCGTCCAAAGGTTACCAGGGCTACTCCTATGACGACATCCCAGACTTCGATGACTAGCACCCACCGGGGGCCGAAGCAGCACGGATGGGACCCAGTACAGTTTAAGACACTGGGCAGCAGCTCAAGCTAAGGGCTAAGGAGTTCTGTAGTTCGAAGATATTTAGCAAGATTGGGGCCAGATTGTATGGGTCTATCCCAAAGCCGTCAACTGAGTTTCCAAGTAACTAAGTAGGACACGCTCTATTATTCATCTCCTGGCTTTGGCAAATCTTCCGACAAGTTTTCCACAGGAATCTATATCAAGGAAGAATAGTGATGTTAATAGTGAAGAGACACGGAAGGTCTTCTGCAGCGGAAAGTGTTCTCCCCAAACGCCTTCAAATTGAAATGTTCTTCTAAACAGTCTTTAATGTCAGTTTGTTCTGTGGCAAATGGAAAAATGTATGTTTGTTTTTCAAAGAGGGAACACAAGATAAGCTTGTGGGATATTATATTGGTAAAAATCAAATAATGTCCCCCCCAAAAAAAAAGAGGCTTGTTTGGGTGATAAAAAACAAAACCAAAACCCAGTAAGACTTCCTTTGCACAGACTTGGGTATTGTGTTTCAATGACCTTTACTTAGCCAAGTAACATTTTACTAGAAAGTATGTTTTCGTTCAGTTAGCTAAACTTCCTCCCTTTCCTCCATTGTTTTTTGTTTTTCTAAGCCCTCAAGGTTTTTCTGGGGGTGGTGACTATTGAGTTACTTAGTCTGGATGGGAATCAGGGCTCCTCCACCATATCCAGGGTTCTCTCCACACCATATTAAGTGACCTTGTGTCTTAAAAAAAAAAAAAAAGAGTGCAACTCACATCAAACTTACTGAAGCCAAATATTCAGGGTGATAAATTTTAACTATGGTTTCTTCAACAGTGCCATCTGAGCCCAGAAATGAGATCACATCTTCTCAGATCTGTCCCTGCCTATTCACTCAGGTAGAATCCAAATGTCACACTTGTTGGAGAATAAAGATACTGTGGAAGACTTTTGAAAGTTCTTAGCATCACTAATCCAGTTATGTGTTCTTTGCTGATCCAGTCTGCCTGCCATCTTAACATGTTTTGTGGTTGAGGATATGAGTTGTGTTAGCTGAGTCACTTTTTATAGTAAATGTGCTCTATCAGGTCTTGTTTAGAAAATATACATGCCAATCTATCTAAGAAAGTCACTATTCTTTAAGTAACGCTATGTCAGGAGTCTGTGTTTTCATTACTACAAGACTGTGGTCAAGTGCTAAGTTAACTTTCAAGGAGAAGTTGGCACTTAGGACCCATCAGACAGTTTAAAGGAAAAATAGCTGGCAATCTATTTCCATAAAGGTTACAACTTTGGAAACCCTATGGGACCATTCTACTCTATCCTGTAGCATTGCTATGAGTTGGAATCTATTTGACAGCAAAGGTTTGGTTTGTGTTTGCAGTGTGAAGCATGCTAAATAATGTTTCGTGGTGTTGGTGGTGGTTATGTGCTGTTGAGTCACCTGCGAATCATAGCGACCCTATGTACAACAGCCCTAAGCCTGCTCTGTTCTGTGCCAGTCTCACTGTCTTGGATACACCTATCCACATTGCCCCAGTCACTGAATCAATCCACCTCATAGAGGGTCTTCCTCTCCTGTGCTGTCCACCCCAGTCACTGAATCAATCCACCTCATAGAGGGTCTTCCTCTCCTGTGCTGTCCCTCCACCCTCCCAAGCATGACGTCCTTCTCCAAGGACTGGTCCTTCCTTGCAACATGTCCAAAGTATGTCAGATAAGCTTCAGAATCCTTGCCTCCAAGGAGCAGCCTGGCTTCACCCTCTCCAGAATGAACCTGTTAATTCTCCTGGCAGTCCATGGTCTATTCAGTACTTTTGGCCAGCACCACGGCTCAAAGACATCAATTCTCCTTTCATCCCTAGTCATTGTCCAGCTCTCTGACACATTGTACACTGTAGTCTCCAGAGTGACAGCATTGCTCTTCATGGTACTGAGATACCTTAGGGTGGGCTACATAGAAGCAGACCCTGAGCCTTCCTCACAAAGTAAGATGATGGCTACAGCTTGTAAGGTTAAGTGCCTGATGGGAGTTGACCTTCCCCATTAGATGGTATACTCCTTGAAGGCAGGGACTGGTTTTGGGTCTTTTACTCTCCACCACCAGGGCATATCTATCTTTGACATAAATGACATGCCGTTGAACAGATACAGGAACTGGAGCTATTATTGGGAGGATTTCAAAAAAGTAAAAGCCATTTGCCATCCAGCGGATTCTGAGTCCTCACAATCGTCTGTGTGCCTGAGTGGAACTGAACTCTGTAGGGTTTATATGATCTTTGGGAAACATTTTTCCAGGCCTTTTCTTCACTCCCCTTTCCCCCCCTGCCCCCCCTCCCGTTCCCAAGCCCTAAGCAACTATTAATCTACTTTCTGACTCTTAGATTCTGGACATTTCCTATCCACTTAGCATAGTGTGCTCAGGTTTCATCCACAGTAGTAGTCTTGGAAAAGGAAAAAGCTTAACTTTAAAGACCTTTTCACAAAACTGAAAATTCAGTTGTTCAGTAGTTGGGATACAGTATTTGGCAGATTAGTCTTTTACCATCACTCCTTTAAATCCAGATATGCTTCTTTCCAGCACATGGTTTCTGGCAACCACTGTGGAGAGGTTGTTATTATTAGAAATTGTCACAGTAGTTAATTGTGAAAAAAGAATTAGGAATCACTAACAACCAAGTAGTTGGGGATCAAGGGGAGGGAAAACTACATTATTGTCACCTTTTCCCAGAATACTATATGTATGTGTGTGTGTGTGGAACTTTTTTTTTTAACCTTGTGGTCATGCAGTTGAACAGATTTCAAGGAGTGGGAGGAGTGTGCAAGTCTTTTAATCATAAGTACTGCAGACATTCTAGTCCAGATGATAATTTAAGGTACAGCATGGTGGAGAGCAGAGTATTGAGCTTTGGAGTCAGATAGACGTGGTCTCCGATTCCGTATCTGCCCATGATACCTTAAGTGAGTGACTTAAATTAGGTGTGTGTCATTTTGTTATTTTTAAAACAAGGATAATGACTCTTCTTCCATGGTCCTGTGAAAATATAATTAGATCATATACATGACTGCACCTGGTACACAGTACACACAATAGATGTGAGTTTGTCCTTTTTCTCTTCCCCTGGAAATCCATAATACCAGAGCAAAAGCAGACAGAGGGATTGAAAAGAGCCATGGTTCTTGGTGATCTCCAGCAGCATCCCTGCAAGCAAATTCTCAAGCCCCAGGATAGATGGAATCAGACCTACTGAGGGTAGGGGAAGGTGTGAGGCTAAGCCATCTGGTTTAACAAGCCGGTTAAAGTGTGAAGTGTTCAAGTGTGAAGACCACAGCATTCGAGGACCGTTAGTCATTTCTGCTACACTCTAAATCCGTTATTCTCACTAACAACTTGCTCTGCATGTGGTGTGAGCATTTTACAGAAAAGAGTCTCGTAACTAAAAAATGTCAGAGCTCTGTCACCAAGAGAGGCAACACTCATGATCTCAGTCCTTTGACAGGTTTTAGTAAAAATATATTGTTGGTTGTCTCCTTCCCTTACTCCTATGAGGAACCAATATTACTAGTGTATCATGGAGGCATGATATGCTAAGTTGATAAACCAACAAGTTTTCAGCAAAAACTGTTGAATACTCAAATCAGAGGGTACATGTAGCTTCAGTTTTCTATCTGGATGCCACATTTTAAGAGGCCCTTGGGCAAACTAGGGAATCCCAGAGGAGGCTAGCCAGGAGTGCGGTCTGGTACTGTTCTGACTCATAAGGAACAGAAGAAACTAGATAATTTGGACCAAGGCAAGAAAAAAGAGTGTCCAACAGCCATTAGTTTAAACGGTGGAGGTCTGGGTGGTCATCAAGGGCAGACTCAGGACCGGTAAGTAAGTAGACATTATAAATAGACATTTTGATGTAACATAAGAACCTTCAACTAGTGTAGCCCCTTGAAAGATGACATGTAAATAGAAGTAGAACATGCTTGGTAATGAGAAGAGTGAACTGAAGCTTAGAGAGGATAGGGTTTAGGAGACCTTGCCAGAGTACCACCACACCTCGTGGCATCTTTAACATTTCTTTGAGCCCATTCTGTATATACCCCTACCAGCCTAGTTGTTGTTGTCCTTGTTTGCTGTCAGTCCAGCACGACTTCATAGCAACCCTATGAACAAAAGGCCTGAAGCCTTTCTATAACAATTGTCATTTATCAAAGTTTATAGAGTTTCCAGAGGCACATTGCTTAGGAAGTGGATGGCACTCCTGATTAGAGGGCCTGCAAATTTACAGCCTCCTGAGGTGCTGGCTGGGGCATACTGTATTACATGTCAAACTGCTAGCAGAGTGATCATGCAGTTCAAGTCTACCACCAGGCATTCCATAGAAAAAGATGTATACTCTTCTCCCATAAAGATTAAATCTGAATGAACTAGCTACCATTTGAGGGTGGAGCACCCTGTACCAGTAACTGACAGCTGGAAGGAGATACACAACCAGCCAGCTTCCTTGCCCACCATCACCACAATTCTGGAGGTCTCCAGTGGAATTATTTGCCTCAAAAGATCTCTTTAGAGTGTGCATTTCTGGTTGTATTTGGCAGTATCTTTATACCTTGGACTAGCGCTTCTAAGCTTGATCCCAGTTTGTCTCTTATGAGCATTATGGTTTGGGGCTTTACTCCCAGGTCTCTGATCCGCCTTGAATTAATTTTTGTGTATGGTGTGAGATGTGGATCCTGTTTCAGCTTTCTGCAGGTGGAAGTCCAGTTTTGCCAACACCATTGGTTAAAGAGGTTTTCATTTCCCCATTTAATGTCTTTGATTTTCTTGGCGAATAAGGAAGATCGAAGAAGTGATGCATTTGAATTAGAGTGTAGGTGAAGAATGCTAAGTATACCGTGGACTGCCAGAAAAAATGAACAAATCTGTCTTGGAAGAAGTACAGCCAGAATATTCCTTAGAAATAGCTGATGAGTGTCCCAGAGTGGGTAG